TCAAGTGCTTGCAATGCTTTCAAGCACTTAGTCTCATTAAAGCACAAATGCTTGTGCTTGTGCTTCAGCACTTTCCTTTGATAGTGCTTATAAGCACATTTTAAAGCATTAAGCACTATTTTGAGTTCGTAGCACAAAGAGTACATAAAGTCTAGGTTATTCTAATCTAACACGTGACAATAAAAATACAGCTTTATAGTAAATGTAGTTAGTTAGCATCAACACCCATTAAGAGGTTGTTTGGCTTAGCAAAAAAGATCTTTAGATGAGAAATCAACTTGTTTACTAGTATAACTTTATATACATTTCTATTACAGAAATGCTTGAAGTAGTGCTTGAAGCACTTTTAAAAGTGCTTGTGCTTGTGCTTAAGCACTTTAATCACAGAAGCCAATAAAAAACGGTTATGCTTTAAGCACTTTTCAAAGTGCTTGTGCTTGTGCTTAAGCATTTGGGCCAATGCTTGACCCCAACCCTGCCACACACACTTTCATACTACAGCCGCTCACTCCCCCTGTCTCTCCTGGCCCAATAGGACAGTTCTTATTTACTAGTAGTACACGTACATGTACATTCTTATCATAATGTTGCTTATTATCCAAGTGTCAGTAACATGATGTATAAGGAATTTTATTAGTAAAAGAGTAATGCTGTATGTGTATCTTTATTCTCTTGATAATAACAAGAGATGTATTTACAATATCAAGCCATTGATTTAAACTGTGGGTCTGTTAGCAGTAGTTTATCCAGTAGGAGTTATGACACCCACATCATGTTTTAAATCACCTAGTGGGTTAGTTTTCCCTAAAGTGTACACCGGCCTGCCAACTTATCTATTAACATGCAGTAAACTCTGTAAGTGTATGTAGTAATACTGATAGTAACAGTACAGCAATAGTAACAGTATACTAATAGTATACTGTGTTAGCTTGTACTGTATGTTAGTGTAGTATCATGTCATGTGCTGTTGTGGGCCTATTGATATTCTTTTGAGGTGAGTTGTCTTTTTTGGCCACTGTAGTCCACTGGGATGTGAAGCCAGCAAGGAAGCAGGAGAAATATGTACATGCTTACTTTAAAGTGTAACTGCAGTGATTTTTTAGGGTATTTATTTTATGGTCTTAATATGATTGCCTGACCATAATAATGATGTGTTCCAACTCCTATTGTCTAAAAAAATTTATTCACTGAGATATGAGCCTTCAAAAATGCACTTTTTGCTTCCTTTCAATTTACTCCCTGTCGGTGGGTGTGGCTAAACGTGACGTCATAAGAGGCATAGATGCAGATAACTCCATTCCTTTATAGGGGGAAATGATCCTTTATTCTCATGCCTTGTAATGTAAAAGCACTAATTTAAAGATTGGGATCATTAGCTTTCATTATCCTAAGCATGCAACTGCAAAAAAACTCAAAAGAAGCAAGCAAGCAGATTTATTTATTTATTTATTTATTTATTATGAACTTAACAGTATAAGACAAATATAAACAGAGACGAGAGAAAAAGGACAGCGGATACTGAAGGACAGCAACAACATGTGTTGCAGCCACAAGTCTACAAGAGTGGTGTGGTAAGAGGCTTTGGTGGCTGAAGAGGTCCAACTCAGCTTAGGCATTTATAATTAAAAGGGTGTGGTAAAAAGGATAAATAAGCTTATAATAGCATTGTTTCTGCTTCAAAAGTAATTTTTAGCCTAGGCAATGACCCCCAATGCTTAGGCCTGCAGCCGCCTATGGTAAGAAGATTCACCAAAGTGTGGTATTATGACTTTTTCTTGCAGTTGCATGCTTAGGATAATGAAAGCTAATGATCCCAATCTTTAAATTAGTGCTATTACATCACAAGGCATGAGAATAAAGGATCATTTCCCATCTATGCCTGCATCTATCCTGCATCTATGCCTCTTATGACGTCACGTTTAGCCACACCCACCGACAGGAAGTAAATTGAAAGGAAGCAAAAAGTGCATTTTTGAAGGCTCATATCTCAGTGAATAATTTTTTTAGACAATAGGAGTTGGAACACATCATTATTATGGTCAGGCAATCATATTAAGACCATAAAATAAATACCCTAAAAAATCACTGCAGTTACACTTTAATTAGATAAACATAATTTACATATTTTAGAGAGAGAAGAGAGTAAATTATAATTTTGTCTAATATATGTCTGTCTCCAACTTTATGGGAGGTGTAGAGTTGTTTATTGATTAACCACTCCATGTATTGTCTTTACTATAATGACAAGAGAGTGTAGCAGAATAATATTGACTGAGAGGGTATGTATGTCTTCTAGCTGTTTATATGATAATGATACACTGTGTACTGTTGGGGTATACACTGACTACTGAACTGCCTACTAGCTTATAGTAAACAAGCAATGTGTAACGAAGCAGGGCGTTGTTGTTTCCCTTTCAATTTGTGCATAGGCGGCTGCAGGGGCAGGCATTGAGGGCAATGCCCTACTAGAATTTCTTACCGGAAGGTGACATCATCATAATTAGCAGTTAATTAATAGTTATTTAGTAATTATGATATGGTTAATTCATCATTATAATGACAAAAACTACATTATTTTGCTCAACAAAGTGATAATTAGTAGAGAATAAGCTGCTAACTGCATGGTTTATTCACAGTAAGCCAGTCAGCCACTTCATAGGTCCATATCTATGGCCAAGACATAATCTACAGTAACCTGCAGCTAGAATAGCTGACTCTTTCATATAGCAGCTTCATTGTTAATTATCATAGTCAGCTAGGACTCATTGAACAGCTAAATCACCTAGCTACTGATACTCTATATTGAAAGAGGTCTTTTAGGTACTGAATTTTCTCCTCTTGAACGCAAGAATGGCAGGGTAACTCTTCAATGAGAAGCTCAGAGCCTTTTTTAACTGGATTTTGTCACAAAGTGCTGAAATAGAAGTCTTCACAGACTTAAACTCAAGAGCAAGACTTGTGGGTGTGGTCATGGCCACACCTACTTTTTGACCACTCTCACTTTCAGCCACACCTTTGCCCTACTTGGAGTGAAATTCTGCAGCCACCTATGAATTTGTGTACAACAAAAGTACACATTTGTATTTTTTTTTTCAAACATGTAGTTATGTTTATCTACAATCCTACATGCTCATATACATGTTTCAGTACTGATTCTACAGACATCATGACTCTGTGTGTGTGTGTGTGTGTTCTAGGCTCAATTTGTTAATTTATTTTATAAAATTGTCTTCACTTCCATTATCAAGTGTTAAATGCAAATTGGCGTAGCAGACAATCATGCAGCTGGTCTTGTACACGTACATGTACATGTCAGTGTTGTGTATAACTAAATATTTAATGACACTGCTCTTCCCTTGTGTTTATAATGTACACACTCTATACAATACACTCATAATAAATTATTGATGACCACACCCATCACTTTTGTTATTCTCTGCCCATTTCTATTATACCACACCTCTTAATTATAATCATTATTGTTATTATTATTATTATTGTTGTTTTCTTATTATAGAAGGGAGGTGATGGTACAGTATATGCTGATCTTGATCTAAAGAATACTCAGGGTGGTCCAGTCACTGAAAGTAATCCAGCCAACATCATTTATTCTGACGCCCATAATAATTAGAGAAAACTGCTTGACTGAAGTATTATTAATTAATTATAATTAGTTAAATATTTGATGCTGTAGTTTGTAGAGGCAAGTCAAGGATTTTTGTTTTGTTGCCCTCGCCCACGCCGTAGGCGTATAGGCGAGGGTACTGCGCTCATGCTGTCAGTGTGTGTGTGTGTGTGTGTGTGTTAGCAAAATTTTCAATCATGGATGATTTTTTGGCTCATGCTACTTTTTAGTCAAGCTCTTCAGAGCATTTCTTTTGGCAATTAGGTACAGAAAAAGTTGTTCTTTTTCAATAATAAAATCTTTTGTTCTTTTCCAAGGTGGCAAAAGTCTGCAGCGTTTAAGAACAGAAAAAGCTTACGAGTAACTTTTGCATAGTTGATGCTATGGTACACGTACCTTTGAAGGCAACAACAGGCAAAGGAAAACATGGAGAGCAAAAAGTATGTGTGGAATTGCTTGACTTTCCTTCGTTTGTGAGATATGACAGCTTAAGTGTGACTTACCAGCCATTTTGTAGCGTAGCGGCTCCTCTCTGAGAAGGTGGCTACTGCCTCAAAACTGAAGAAACTGGATATAGGAATTGCGTGAAACAAGTAGAGCCTAACAAATCTGTGTAAAACTGTGTGCATGCCTAGAAAAACTAAAGCTTTCTGTCCACAGTAAGGCCACATGGCACCATTTTACTAAACTGGGCGGTGCATATTTTGATTGAGCTGAGCCACCACCCGATCCGGAAACTTTTTGAAGCAAAAGTAATAGAAAAAAAAGGAAACGTTTTCCTAGCACTCTATTAGCTAAACATACTTTCTGCATACTTAATGAGGGGGTGGGGCTGAAGGTTTTTAGCTGAAAACTCGAAGGTTTTACATCACAAGTCTCAAAAACTGCAATGATATGCTTAATACAAAAATTAGCTAATGCTACAGCAAGGTTGAAAGGTCTTTGCAACTAAATTTCATATTTTGACAATTTTGACTAAAACTTGGTTTCAGACATAAAGTAGCCATTTATTGATTTACAGGGCTTGAAAAGTAAATCAGCTACTTCTAAGACAAAATTTTTCTGACAATTGCATTTAACTTTAAACCTTGCTGTAGCACTAGCTAATTTTTGTATTAAGCATATCATTGCAGTTTTTGAAACTTGTGATGTAAAACCTTCGAGTTTTCAGCTAAAAACCTTCAGCCCCACCCCCTCATTAAGTATGCAGAAAGTATGTTTAGCTGATTATCTCTGTGCTTCTTCATTCAAATCTAGTACTTTTATTTTTTATAACAACTATTTGTGCATGCCTACCTATTGATGCCAAACAATGATCAGGATTGTACTGCTGGCTTTACTTTAAAAAATCATTAAAAATTATGCAACCTCTGTATGGTAGATTCCCCATTCCTGGATCAATGGAAAGGATTCTGCTTAGACAACTTTTGACTTTTATAGCATTACCTCATGGACTGCTTTAAAGTGCCGCATAGATTGGTACAACTGAGCATTATATTAAAACGTGATGAAAAATCAAAACAAAAATTACTGGATTGTTTGTTATACATGCACAACGTCCTCCTGATCTTGATGACTTTAATTTGACTACACAGAAAGAACATAAAAAGAGAAAATATAAATTGACCTTACTTGAATGCAAGACTTCTCAAATCCTGAGCTGGGTGGTGCATTGAGAGGTATACTGTAAATAGAGGAAGCAAAAAGGACAAAAAGAGGGAGGTACATAGGAGCTAGTGAATTGCAATCAATGTGATTCAAACTAAGTATAATAATGGTAACTGTAATGCTATTCTGTGTTCGGAATGTAATAGTAATGGTAATTACCTTACTGGAGACCATCTTCATTATACCAGCAACATAATAGTACTTCAATAAATAAATCATGCAGTGATTAATAGCCAATAGCTAGTGACATACATTTTTGCATACTTGTCTAAATCTGAGAACTAAATGTACCACATATTAGCATAGATTGTATTACTAAGTAACAGGGATTGGAAACAGATCACGTGATCGCATTCAAATTAATGAAAGCAGGTGCGGACGAACCTTGTAAGACTCTGCCCCTTCCCCGGCTCGTTGAGACTAGAGCAATATGACTGAAAGGACTGCTGGATTAAGTGTAGCTTGAAGCCAGATCCAGGGTAGTTATATAGCTTATATTGTTGCTGAAGGTTTACTTACTTATTAGAAACTGTTAAAACTGTAATACAGCACTTTATTTTGCAGAAAAATGAGAAAAAGCATGCTTTTTTACCATGCGTGATAGGTGTGAAATCTATTCAACCTATAACTTGCTAAGGGTAACTAAAACTGAGAGAGTGTCAATATAAAAAACATGTATCAAGTAAAGCTACGTGCCACTAAGACACTTTTATTATCACTAGTGCTTCATACAGATCATAAGATCCCAAAATGTCGGTTTTTAGAGGCGTATCTGTTCAACCTATATCACAAAAAGTAAGTAAAATTAGGATAAAGGACAAAAACTGTAACAAAGATCAGGGTTTTTCACATGCCTTTAGCCTATTATATAAGCCATAGACGGCACTTTGGAAAAATAATAGCTGTATTCATTAATTTGTGCCATCACAAAGGCAATTTCAATGATAACATGGGCCGCGAGAGGCGGCGAAGATTCTGTCAACAAAACTATGCTTAACCGTCACAAAGAACAGTCATGAACTCCCAAGACCTATCTGTTCATCATCGATAGTAAATAAAATGCAAATTAATACAGTACAAGACTTGGAGAAGAGCTTGTGTAGTCCTTCCATTGCTTTTCCACCATTACAGAGTCTGTCCGTGTGACGTCATCAGTTTCC